GTAACTGTTATGGAATGATCTTGGCAGTTCCCGGTCCATGTACCGTAACTGTTATGGAATGATCTTGGCAGTTCCCTGTCCATGTACTGTAACTGTTATGGAATGATCTTCAGCAAAGCTTTACTTGCCTGTGAGATTTCTCGATAATTTGAGCTTTCTGCGGGGTCACCTTTCTTTAGAATGGGTACAGATATGGTTCTCTTCCAGTCAGTTGGCTAAGTAGCTGTCTTTTAAATTTCCTGTCATAGACAGTGAGCGCTTCCAGGGCTTTGTCAGCTCATTGAAACATTTCAGTTGGTGTCCCATCAATTCCTGAAGCCTTGTTTTTGGCTAATGCATTCAGTGCAGTTTGGCTTTCTTCCTTCAGTGTGTGTGTGTGTGTGTGTGTGTGTGTGTGTGTGTGAATTAGGTTGGGAGTAGCATTGGTTCTTGCTTATACGCTACCTCTTTAAATGGTGGAATGTCAACGAGTTCTTTTTGGTAGTGACTCTGTGTATTCCTTCCATCTTTCTTTGATGTACCCTGCATCCATCAGTAATTTGCCCCTAGAATCCTTCAATATTACAACTCAAGACTTGAATTTTTTTCCTGAGTTCTTTCTGTGTAAGATCTGCCGAGAGTGTTCTTCCTCTTTTGGTTTTCGAACTCCAGGTCTTTACACATTTCATTATAATACTTGACTTTGTCTTCTGGACCTGCCCTTTGAAATCGTCTGCTCAGCTCTTTGACGTCGTCATCCCTTCCATGTGCTTTAGCTACTCCACCATCGAAAGCAAGCTTCACGGTCTCTTCTGACATCTACCATGAGTGGGAGTTTGGGGTAGAGAGCTAACCACAATCAAACAGCTCTGACCTTGTCCACGATTTCCACCACCTACCCCGGGGCAGTGTCCAGTATCCAGTGCGCAGTCCCTGCCTGTCCCTAGCATGGCCTTTCTGCATCTAGCTCCCTGGCCATAGCAATTTCAGGCTACAGGCTGTCTTGACGGCTCCCTGAGTCACCTTACTCTTTTCCCCTGGCCCCTTCCTAACTGGGCACCCCTTGAACACGGCCAAGTCAACTACCTGCTCCAATTCCTGTTCCATAGTCCTCACTCAGCCCTCAGTCTCCTCTCTGGTTCCTCTGACACCCACGGAATTCCCCTTCCCTGAGAGCCAGGTGTCACCTCCACCTCTCTGACCACCCTCTAGGCTCCTGCACTCTTGCCTGCTATTGTGTTTCCTGGGGTCAGCATGTCAGTGCCCTACCCTAGTGGAAGAATGAATGCCTGGATGCTGAGGGACGCTGGGAACCGGGGGACAGCGGCTGGTGTTGCTGAGGTGCAGGAGACAGGCTACACAGTGGGCCAGTCAGCTGGCCTGCCGGGGACAGGGGTGTGTGTGAGGGTGCAGGAGGCTCAGAGTCAAGGTGCCGGGCTTTCTGAGACCCTGTGCCCGTCCCACCCTCCCACCTCCTCAGGCCAGCTCTGGGGTCTCCTGCAGGTGGTCCGAAACTTGACCTCCGAGTTCTTCGCTGACCAGCTCCGGGCGCGCATCTCAGATGACACCACACACCCCGTGTCCTACTATGAGCCTGAGTTCTACACGCCCAATGATGGGGGCACGGCGCACCTGTCCGTGGTCTCAGAGGATGGCAGCGCCGTGTCAGCCACCAGTACCATCAACCTCTAGTAGGGTGCCAGCGTGTGGGGCGCAGGAGATATAGTGGGGTACTGGGAGCATGGGGCTGGAAGCAGGAGTTGGGGGACAGGGCCTGCCTGCCTTCCATAGGTGGCCTCAGTAGGGGGGCTGGTGTGGTGTGGGCAGAACCCTAGGAGGGGCCCCAGTTGGGGTGGAAGGCAGTGGATTGCTGGGGGGATTCAGGGTCATGGGCATGGCCCATTGCCAGTAGGGCCAGCAGGGAAGCCCCACTGAGGTTGGGAGATTAGGGTAGGATGAGGGCCTACAGAAGCATAGGTTGTGGGGGTTCCAGTGGGTGGGCATGCCCCTAGATGGGGTGTTCTAGCATGGGCGACCCTAGGGTTTGGTCCCAGTGGAATGGGTGGAGGCTAGCATGGGGAGGAGGGTGAGAAGGGGGGCCAGCTGGGCCTGCCCAGCACTGGGCATCACAGCCGGACTCTGATTACGCCGCCCTCTGAAGCTTCGGCTCCAAGATCCGCTCGAGGACCAGCGGGATACTATTCAACGACGAGATGGACGACTTCAGCTCCCCCAGCATCACCAACGACTTCGGGGTGCCCCCCTCCCCCGCCAACTTCATCAAGCCAGGTGTGGAAGGAGGGGGTGCGGTGGAGCGGGATGGGGGGGGCTCTGGTGTAGCCCGCCTGACCCCCCCCTCCTGCCCATCCCCTCCCTCCCACGGCCTCAGGGAAGCAGCCGCTCTCGTCCATGTGTCCGACCATCGTCGTGGGAAGGGACGGCCGGGTCCACATGGTGGTGGGTGCCTCCGGGGGCACGCAGATCACCACAGCCACGGCGCTGGTAAGGGCCCCCCACCGCC